GTGAAATAAGTAGTTCTTATTGTTATGTTAATTAATCGGAGCAGACACTCTTCGGATTCGCTCCGCACGAGGATCTTTTCTTTCCAAACTTGCTAGTAGTACCGTAAATGCTTTTTCTCCTGAGATGTTGGCGCACATGGACTGTGCAACAAAGCTCACCAATAGTTCGTTTACAGCTGGTGCCTTTGAATCTTTGGCAAAATTCGTGTGAATTATTTACAGCATTCGATATTGCATCATTCACCTTTAATTTGAGGCAGATACTATTCGCCAGTTTATGCATTGCTCAGTGTTTATTATGAACTATCGGTCTCGATGGCTCAAATTGTTAGTGCATTTTGGCAAAATATATGCTACTGGAGCTCTTGCATCTTTTCACTTATGCGAATGTGTACTAAAGCATTAATTTATATTCACACTTCGGATCCATATAATAGGACAAGGGTATGAAGAAACAAACGTTTTTTTGCAGATAAAAACTCAACTGAGAATAAGGAATTTTATTAATGACAACTTTATCCATGGTCTTGTGCTTTGTATCGTCTCCTGATAGCAAATTAACTCGCCACAAGTCATACTAATCAAATTCGTCTTTAACCTTCAAAGTAGGAGATGTTTCTTCAGTGAAACATAACACTAAATCGATCCGTGATTCAACTAACAGCCAAATGCAAGACGCTTGAGTGGAACTGAAAGTGTAAAGCTGCCAGTGATTAAGCCAACAACCGTAAGAGCTTGTACTTCTTTCCTGGCCGCTAATCATCATTCGTGTGAATCTGGAAACAGTATCGTGAGGTCATATGCATTTGTATGGAATAATTGCCACACAAAGTAAAAAAGTGTAAAGGTAAGACATAGAAAAAATGTACTAAAAATGAATAACAAAAAATTGGAAAACCATTAAATCTTCCATCATCTGCTATAAAAAAGGAATAAAAGTACTCACAACTCAAAGAACATGAAGTTGTAGGTAGGATAAAAACAAGGTTTTTAGGCTTACCGCCCTTCTGAAAATAGCGAACTCGGTCAGCAAAGTAGGCGGTGAGCAACGGTAATGGAAACTCGTCAAAAAACCTGGTAGCTAAAAATTAAACCATATTTTGAGCAATCTAGGAAAAATTAAGATGGATATTGATAAATAATGGTGATTTTCTTAATAGAAGCATAACTTAAATAAAAACCGCAACCCACAAGTATGGTAGATTCGAGTTGCCCAATAAAACAAAGCTGACAATCCTATGAAATCAAGTTAAAATTTAAGGAGTCACAAAGAATGTATCGAACTATGCTAAGTGAAAATTGTCTTTATAAGAAGATACAATAAATTATTATTCATCATGTCAAATTTATTATGATAAATGGTCAAAATTTAAGTGCGAATTTTCTAATATCATTTAGTAATATAATTAGTCAATTTAGTCAGGAATGGGTGTATATCTTGAAAAAAAAAGTGAATTTAATTTGTTTTAACTTTATAATAAAGTTATAATTAAGGCAGAACACTAACTCATATCTAAAGCGCTGCCGGGCTGATGACCAAGATCTAAAAAGCCAGTAGAGGAAACAACGCCTGCCATTCTTGCTTCGGACTGAAATGGGTCGATGTCGCCTTCAGCAGCCCCATGTGACCCAATATGAGTGATGGTGGCAGCACCCCCGGCAGCCTGGCCAAGTAAATGTCTATTATACCGAGGTATTAATAGACCAGCCCGAGCGAAAAGAGTCTCTACACTGCTTTCAGAATCAGTGAAACGCTGATGCATCACCTCTTGCTGGAGACAAGCCGTTTGCTCAAGCACCAACGTAAATACAGCATCTTCAAAACCACCAAGACGTGAAAGAGCAGAGGAATCAAACAAAAGGCCATTGACCAATATCAGTGGCGATGTAAATATGTTCGTAGCAGTGATAGTTCCGGATGAAGAGAAGGCGACTGTATCAAGGCCAAGTTGGTTCAAAAGACTCCAATGTTGCTAAAAGGTGAATGTAAGGAAAGTCAGAAAAACAATTAATAAAATTAAAGGAAATTCAAATTGATTTTAGAAGAAATCCAATCAATTTCAAGAAAAGTAACAAATGTAGTTCAAGTAGGCCAATGATAGCCATTGAAATCATTTTGTTTCTAAATAATTAAAAGTGCAGAATAATCAACAGCCTAAGGAAATTAGTGAAGAACTTGAACTTCGCTGAGAATATTAGCTCAAAGGTCATAACAGCATAAATATTATCGCCCACTCAGGCAAAATGCTTAAGAATATTAATGAAATATAGTATAATATACAGCGAATGAAAGAGAATTAAAAATAATTATACCAATATTTGATAAAGGTGACATCATAGGATAAAATAAAAACTTCGGTCGGAGAAAAATAAATAGTCACTCAATCATAGCGATTACTCAGCATACTCGGTTTAGTGAAACATAAGCAGTGCTTGTATGCAAGTTCCAATAAAAAAATGAGTAAGCAATTTGTTGACAATGTTTAATCTAGAAATAAGAAAAAAATGCATTCCACAGTATGTAGTTGAAGGAACTATAAAAATTAGATTAAAAATCAATCGACCAAGCTTAATAGAAATCGCCAATTACCATAAAAGTAGACAGCAATATAGATGACGATAATGATTAATAAAACCTCTGTATTACTCAACTTAGCTCTAATTATGTAGCAGAAATTTAATTACTTTTCTAATTACTTTTCACTTCTCCGTTGCAAACTAAAGACTGGCATTCGATTGGATGAACATATGAATATCAAATAAACAATAACCAAATCAGCAGACATACTTTATAAGCGTATCGTCAATTTCCCTAAAATTTTATGCATGTACCAAGCTACTAGTGTTATGCCGGAAATGATCATAAATGCTATGGTATAGGACGCAAGACAAGGTATGTTTCACAAGATCTCTCCGCCACTCCAATCAAGTTGAGAAAACGAGGCCAATCCAATAGCATGCAACCAGAGGCCAAACCAAAGGTTTCAAATCTACGATCCACATGTTTTTATTCAAATCCAATCCAAGATTATCTATTATTTAGTCATTAGCTTTAAGTAAATATAGGCATTTTTAGCGCATCGGATCGAGGTGCAAATGGATAGTCGCTAAATTTGCAAGCGAAGCCAAAAGAATATGAAGAGAAGCGGACTGCTTCATAATCAAACCCATGAAAAGTCTCTACGCTCGTCTCCTCTACAGAATGGGGCCTTTTTACTATGACAGCGTCAGTATTAACTCAGCAGCTATTCTCATGGGTGTTGAACTCATGCACCTTCGCGTGCCCCTTCAGTGTCATTAATTCGTACGTCGCTCCTTCCCTCTCATGCATCGGCAAAAATACAAGTCGGTCGACCATCCGTTTAAAGAAGACCACACTCAGCTAGCGTCTCTCAAAGAACATGTCATTACGCCCGCAGCTACAGGAAAACTGTTGCCCCACAGAAGCAGTGCAACCATGTCGCAGAGCCGACTTTAAATCAATGCCGCATATCCACTTTGAGTCTTTGTAGCGTCCTATCCATTGATATCTTCACATTGGCAAAGAAATTTCAGCAAGCTTTCGATTGCCTCGATCCAACTCAATCTTCTCAATCACGCATGCAGCCAATTAGCTTTGCACAACTTCTGATCTTTACATAATTTCAACACACAGTTCGATATTTTATCCTCCAAAATGTCACAGGACAGGGCTCGAGCTATTAGCTAGTATCAAGAACGAAATCGTCGATCACGACAAACTAATCAATGATAGTTATAACGATGATTTTTTACGTCAAAACTGATATAATTATAAAAATTTTTTGCGTGTAAGCAACCTTTGGAAGCAAACAATCGACAAGGCGAAAATTATATTTACAATGAAAAACGATGACGTTATTTATATAGACACTGAGGATAATTCAGGATTACAAGTAGATCTAAAATAAGAACTTGAGTTAGATCAGATTCTATAAAATAATATAAATATAATATTTTAAATGAATTCAACTTATGGGAGGTTGAAAGTGCGGTCAACTCTGAATAAGAAACCCTTTTGGGAAGCAAGGTTATATGAAATGCAATATAAGCGTAAGGCCTACTCATATCATTGCGAAAAAATTCAACAACCAATCCTTCATCGAATTAAACAAAATAGGAGGTATACATATAAAATGTATAATCTAGTGAAAAACTCGCAAATCTCATTATAAACGAAAAACAATATTTGAAAGCCATATTTATCCTAAGATTGGGTAGCACTTGTGGCTTTGGGGCCAAGTCATAAAGTTTTGCATCTTTTCATTACCAAGTTTCGAACAAAATTCGAGGGAATGACTGGCGAGACATAGATGAAGTCAAAACTGTGATCAATCCTAGATGAGTAACCGTTTTGAGAGGCAAGGCTATGTAAAATTCATTGTGTAAAAATTTAACTAAGTCCTACTTTAACTGATGAGGCTTAAGATGACTAAAGTTATTATTAAAAATAGGCTATCACTAAATATGATCATAATGTAAATAACTTCATTGTGTTATGTAGAGGTCTTGAAGTATCAAGATTGTAACAGAAAAATAGATAAGGTCGAAGAGGTTGA